TTGTTTTTTTTTGAAGAACAAAATTTTAAAACTGATAAATTTAAAATACAATTTCTCTCTGCAGGCTTTAGCACGTCTCCATCCAGAAGTGCAACCACTACAGCAGGTAGGCTAAAGACTCATTCCGTGTGATGCTAGGTAATCAGGACACAGTTACAGTAAAAACCACATTTGTGGTTGTGTATTTATAAGCCTGAAATAGTCATATTTCATTTTAAGATGACCATTTTCCCACCTCTCTCTGAGTTAACCAAGCATTAGTAAGACTTATATAATCAGGGGGGTCACATGACAGACTTGCCAGAATAGCAGCTCACAGCTAGAGCTACTACATTCTTTCCGTCTTCTCGACTGATTTATTCAGCTTTTATTTTACTACCTTGCAACTTTTGGCATGAAAGATTGACTGAGAGGTCAAGCACAAATGAGTGAGTGATTTCTTCATTGGTATCCAGTCCAATTAAGAAAAAAATCAAAGCAGTTTGTCTCACCAGAGATGGCTGAAATGGCAGATCTGTTAGCCAACTCCACTGAAAATCAAGCTAGCTTTCTCTAATCGCAGTTGGAGGCAGTGTCCTCAGACTAAAAGGCTCAACTGTGCGCAATCAAAGATGACCTTTGAACATAAACTAAATCAGTCCTGACCATTTCAAAAGTTGATGAAGTAGTCAGCAAAGAACGCGAGCAGAAAAAGATTCTAAACTGCCACACAGGTTGACTGGAGTCTGTTGAAAGTAAGCTTCCTGAACTCGAGGACCATTCCCGCAGGAGCAATGTGCAGCTGGTAGAACTCTTTGAGGGCTCCAAGGGTGTTAACTACATAGAAAAGGCAATCAAAAAGTGGTTTCCCTCATTTGCTGATAAAGACATCGAGATCAAGAGAACCCACCAAATCTACAGGAAATCATCAGATGGTCAGAATACTCCGCAGGTGTTTATCTTCAAATTTCTGCAGTATCAGGACAGGCAACAATTGCAGAAGGTTCACAGGGAGTGCAGCCCCATTGTCTGTTTAGGCTCCAAGCTTCGTTTCTTTGTTGATTACAGCGCAGCCGCTACCAAGGAGAGGATGTTTTTTCTTCTGTTTCAGAGATCTCTGAAAGCAGCTGGAACTTTCTGCCGTATCCAGCTCTGCTAAAAGTTAACATGTCAGGTCCTGTGCACCATTTCTCTTGTCCTTTGGAACAGCCTGATCTCCTCTTTAGCCAAACCAAATGACATCATGAAAGCACAGTGGTGGTGTTGATTGCATCCTGACCTCAAACTGTGTACCTGATGGCAATTGAAAATACTTACACTTTATTATGTACTTTTTATTTTCATATGTTGCTTTACAGAAGATGATCTTTCATTTAACTAGTATCATCAGTGTCTAAATGGGTAGGAACGATGTTGCACCACTCACTCAGGTTTGGTTATGGGATGCAGTTGAAGTTGAGAATGAGACCATCAATATACTCTGAGATTTTTCAAGTTGTTCAAATCAACGTTACTTGTTTTTGTTTTCTGATGTTTTCTTGCTTTCAGGTTTCAATTGCTAAGTCATGGTTATTCTATTTTTTCTTTTTTACATGATAATCATTTTTCAATCTTGTCTTAGAATGTCCAGGGTTTGAATTCTCCTTATAAAAGGACCAGCTTTCTTACCATTTATAGGGAAAAAAATAGATGTTTCAGGAGACCCATCTTTTCCCACAAGATGTGCCCAGAATGGGTTCTAAGTATTTTTGTGTGGCAGTATTGCAGCTAAGATTTCTGCAGCTAAGAACAAAACTAATAGAACTTTAATGCTTTTGTGTAGGAAATTTAATTTAACAATATTTAATACAGGCTCTGACACATCTGTACAAATTGCACATCTTAAAGTATAAATCAAGAAGGGGAAGAGGATATGTTCCCTTCATCTTTGACCCAGAATTTTTAAATTTTCTATCAAAATATCAATTATAATTTGAAGATTCTGAGTTTAACACTACATTGTTACAAAATGAAAAAAATGTTCAAGAATTTAGCTCTGGCTTTAAAGATTTCATGCCTATCAATAATGTTTCAGTTACAGGTCTATGAATTTTGTGGAAAGCGATTAAGGAATACATCAGGGGACAATCTACTTTTTTCGATTCACAACTAAATAAAACTAAAGAAAATCACAGTCCTAGAAAACAAAGTTGCCTCTCTTGTTCATTTACTACGAACTTCCTTTAATGAAACTGTTGCAGCTGAGCTTAAATTAGAAGTAAATTTCTTCTCTCTTATTTTCTCTCTCTTATGCATAGAGTGATAATATTATTATTTTCATAGTAGTTGCCCATTTATTAGCTCTTAAATTATGTAACAATGAACATTTTTCTGACATCCTAAACATCCAAATCTCTGTATGTCAGCCCTTCTGCTATAGTAATAACATGTAATAAATGCTCACCTCCATGTTTAGTTTCTCATGGCTCTAGACAAGGCTGTCCATTTTCTCCTCTCTTATTTGCTTTGTCACTCGAGCTCCTGGCCCAAGCGATTCGGCTATCCCCACTTTACTCCCCAGTCACCATTAATAATAGTCATCATTACATTTCTTTATATGCTGATGACAATTGCCTTGCATTAATAACATTCCTCAAACAAATCCCCTTGTGCTCTGTATTTTGGATATATTTTGCACTATCACTCTGGCTGTAAGGTCAGCAAGACAAAATCTGCACTTCTGCCTTTGAATGACACAATGAGAGAGACAAATTTATCCTTAATTTTAATTTTTAAATGTATTAATCTCTTCAATAAACAGTTAAGAGAATTGTTACTTAGATATTTGCAAATATCTGTGATGATATGAGGAACTAGAGTTACCTAATACTCAACAAACTCTTATATCAATAGTGCAAATGAGTATTCTTCCTAGAGTTAATTTTAAAACCGCTAACCTATTCATCATAAATTTCTTCACAGATCCTATTTAACTCCTTGCAGAGGAGTGTGCCTCACTCCATATGTGCCTCACTCCATCTCATCTTTGTTACTTTTTGTGCTGATGGTAGATGTGGTACATTTTTACGTATGTGCTGGGAGTGCTCGAATGTGAGCAGGTTTGGGACTAAGGTTTATTTTACATTATCACACATACTCAATAAATTTATTTCAAATACACTCCGAACTTTGACTCTGAATGTAGCTTAAATTGTGCTGAAAATAAATTGTGGCCACTTCGAACACTATGGAAAATGCAGCTAAAAAGACTGGTAGCTTATTGTGAAATCTGTTTTACTTCTAGCAGCATTATTGTATAATTACAGCTGGTAATACATTATATTCATGCTGTACTGATGAGTTTTGTATTACTTGATATACCTGAGTTTTTTTTCCCAATGTTAAACGTTAAATGGATGGGTGCCATCTGAGTGGCGATGGTGGGGGGGGCTGGGCACTCCATTTTGCTACTTTTTTTATTAATATCTACTGTATTTTACATTACTATTTAGGAGCTTTATTTTGAAAATATTTTGAGAATCATTTCATCAGAAAAAATAAACACAATCTTTTGGTAAATCATAAGCACCCCCCCAAAAAAATAAATAAATAAATAAATAAATAAATAAGAGAAGAGAATGGGAAGGCAGTATTTTATATACAGTATTCAAAGGTACTTTTGGGAAACCTCTATCATCATTTGTTTTTTTTGTTTGTTTTTGTTGATTTTTTTTATGTAGTGTGGAAATTGTGGTTTGGCATATTCAAAAGTACAACATTTCAGATATATTATGACTTATTAATCAATATTAAGTAATAGCAACTGGAAACTTTCACCAAACTCTAAATGCATAAACATTTAAACCAGAGATCTCCACTGCATTAACATTCTAAAGGATAGAGAAAGTTACAAAACTAAGAAGACTAAGAAAACTAACAAAAGAATTTTTGTCTCTTGGCAAAAAAAATAAGAATAAAATGTCCAAAATTATGAGTAAAAAAATTGAAGTGGTGGAAGGAGACAAAGTGTTCAAAACCTGTCACTCTCTGACCATTATACTTGCTGTGTTGAGCCTATGTTGTGTAAACTCATGCATTTCAGGCCTAGAAGGCTTCAATTTGTCATCCAGCAGAGAAAAATGAATATGAACAAAATACTGACCAAATAAATAAATAAATAAATAAATAATTAAACAAACCAGTATAAAGGAAAGATACTAATGTTTGTACCACTAATGTTTTAGTACTTTTAATGCCTTTTCAGTAATTTACTGGGATCATTCTGACTTGTAATTACTAAACATTGTGTATATTCTTACAGTAATGTACAAAAGTCTTAGGCATTCGAGAACATTGTTTAAAACTTTTTATATTGGAGGTCTATTGGTTAGTAAAACACACTTTTTTTATAATATCATTCAATTAATACATAAATGCAGAGTTATTAATATGTTGTTTATAAGAATATAGTCCAAAGAACACGGGACACAGTTCCTGTCTTCATGCTGCATTTCAGCCACTACATTGATTTAAAAAAAAAGCTATTAATAGCACCTTATGTAATTTTATCAGCTGAAGCAGGTACTGGATGACAACTTTAAATGCTGGTCATTGCTGAAGAGAGCTTTGCTAATGGTTAAGAAAACACACTGGCACTGACACTGATGGTTTTCTCTCTTTTCTTCAGAGAGCAGTACCACTGACATCACTACTCCACAAATAAATGCAACTACAGGTAACCCATGTACATATTCTAGACTGTCTTTCTACTCTATTTTCCTGGGTTCTTTGTCATGAGTTCGGCTGGAGAAAAAAAAACTGACAAATTAAGACACATTAATTGATACCTTGAATGTTTGTAGTATAGATAAGATTGCTGAAACATATACTGCGTTACCACAATTCAAACCAGAATCTCCTTGATCCAAAATATCACTCTAAAAACAGTGAACTAGAAAATACCGAGAAAAGCTATTAAAAGTAACTTTGACACTACGTTTTTCTTAGGCTTGAAATTTTGCTGCTTACACTATCTGTTATGTCTTAGGTCCTTTCTATGCATATGGAATTGGAGTTGGAGACGTAGTGAATGAACGGATAGATGATGGAGGTTCATCTGCTATTCCTCTTGTGCAGCCATTTTCATTCTTTGGAAAAACATACAATCAAATATATGTGAGTGAATCTTACTTTCCTATTTGGGGAAGAATGTTGCTATGTCAAGCAGCTGGCAACGTATTGAAGGCTAAAGTTCAGTGAGCATGAAATCTCCATTCATTAAACACCATATAATTCTCAGCAAAAAGGTGGCCATAACACCACAAAATCCTAATTACATATCTTAAATTTCTAGCTACTATTTTCTGTGGCCAAATATTCCATCCAAACCAATTTTGAGCCTAGTTAGAAAAAAAAAAATCCACTTTAACAACACGAGTGGGAAAATATTTTGGCTCATGTGATATAACAATCAACTACTTGCTTTTCCTGTAGGTCAACAACAATGGTCACTTAACCTTTGATCAGGCATGGAGCAGCTACACCCCCTACCAGTTTCCTTCTAATGGTGGACGAGACCTCATTGCCCCATTCTGGACAGACCTTGATAATCGTGGAAATGGTGATGTCTCATATCAGCAATACACTACTGGAAACATTCTCACACAGGCCACCCAGGACATAAACCAGCATTTCCCTCAGCTGCAATTCAGTGCAACGTGGGTTTTTGTGGCAACATGGCATAAAGTTGCTTACTACAGTTACTCAGGCATGGTAAGAAAGCTTTCTCTTCATATGATTAAGCTGTATACTGATTTCTTCATAATTGACCACCATAAAAGACAGCTATGTCATCCTAACCTGCAAATTCAACAATGTTGCTGCCTTCTGAAATAATATAAGACATAAGAAGTGTATTTTAATGATGCCTCACTCATTTTTTGTAAACATTTTGCAGGAAGCATCTTTCCAAGTTGTTTTAATTTCAGGTGGTCATCTCTCTTTTATACTGATGAATTATGGTCAAATTTCTCCAACAGACAGGTCTGTACAGGTAAGCATAAATTTGGTGCTGGTAGTCTACTATCTTACTGATACCCCTAAACTGGAAATATAATTTTAGGTTCTAAACTGATATTGCTTTGTTTCCAAGGCTGGTTATGACACAGATGACTCCAGTTACTACTTCTCAATTCCTGGGTCATTTCAACACAACTACAATGTCTTTACATACAGCACCAATGTCAATGTGACAGGCAGATGGGCTTTCCGTGTAGATCATGGCTCACAGAGATGTCAATTTAACAGTAAGCTGCCTGAAACTCTGCATACTTTTGAAAATCAGTATACAATATAGACTATTGTTAATCTCACTAAACTTTTTTTTTTTTGGCAGACAACTCCGTCCCACAGGGTACCTCTTTCTGGACAGATGCCTCTTGCCTGGAGAGGTGCACTTGCACCCGCCAGGGTCTCCAGTGCAGCTCTCAGCCCTGCACCTTCTCTCAAGCCTGCCGTCGTGCTGCTTTCCAGTATGGCTGTCAAAATATTCAACGCCAAACCTGCACCATTTCTGGTGATCCTCACTACTTTACTTTTGATAATCAGGTGTTTCACTTTCAAGGGACCTGCACTTATATCCTGTCTGAGGTACAGTTTTCAATTATGTTTCCTTTATTAGTGTGAAATTTATGATTGGGATATTTAAAATGGTGTCTGGTCTTGATTCTGTCTAAGTCTAAAATTGCATTTCTGTACAGGCCTGTGGTGATGGGTTGCCATACTATCGTATTGAAGGAAAGAATGAGAATCGGGGCAGCACACGTGTGTCATGGACACGCTTGGTCAGAATATTTGTCTATGATCAAGAATTAGAACTGGTGAAAAATCATCAACATGAAGTCAAGGTCAGCATCACTAAACTCCTTTAGTAAAATATGTGCTTTATTATTTTCCCTGACTCTGATTTCTCATTGACTATGCAGGTGAATGGGAGTTTTGCAGCAACACCTTTCAGCCTCCGCAATGGCTCCATTCAAGTCTATCAGTCAGGCTTTTCTGTAGCTGTCAGTACTGATTTTGGCTTAGTTGTTACATATGATGCTAATTTCTACGTGACCATCAGTGTGCCTTATGACTATCAGAATGCCACATGTGGCCTGTGTGGCAATTTCAACCACCACCCAGAAGATGACTACCGTACACCTTCAGGAGAGATCTTGAGCTCAGATGTGGAGTTTGCAAATGCTTGGAAGGCACAGGGGGATGAGGTCTGCCAGAATACTGGGTGCTCAGGTCTTATGTGTGCTGCCTGTACCACTGCTCAGAGCAATCTGTACAGTAACTCAAACTACTGTGGAATCATGGCAGATCTTAGTGGACCATTTGCCCCTTGCCATTCGAGGCTGGCACCCCAGACCTTTGTAGAGAATTGTGTCTATGATCTTTGTGTGGGAGAAGGATACCAGCCAATCCTATGCCAGGCATTGAATGTATATGCCGCTCAGTGCCAGCAGCAGGGCATTCAGATTGGCCACTGGAGAAGACAAGGATTCTGTGGTAGGAGTTATAGATGTTCTGTTTTGTAATATAACTAATTTTAAAGACAGAATACTTCTAAACATAATTAAAACTATTTTTCTACCATTTACTACTTCCAGAAATTCCATGCCTTGAGCACAGTCACTTCGAGTCTCAGGGCACAGGCTGTCCTGCAACCTGCAGTAACCCTTCTGCTCCTTTAAACTGCCCCTTGCCAAACCAGGAGAGCTGTATTTGTGATGCTGGATATGTCCTAAGTGCTGGAGAGTGTGTTCTTCAAGCTAACTGTGGCTGCACTTTGGGAGGACTCTACTATGCCAACGGTCAGACAGTGGTATTGGACGATGACTGTGGGAGGCTGTGTACCTGCAATAACAGAGTTATGAGCTGCCAAAATCACCAGTGTGGTCCACAGGAGATGTGTGCAATCCATGATGGAGTGAGAGGGTGCAGACCATTAAGTTATTCAACCTGTGTGGTTAAAGGATCAGGCTCATATCACACTTTTGATGGACTCACTTTTAGCTACCCAGGAGCCTGTGGGCTCACCCTTACTAGGGTGATGGGTCCATCCTCCCTACCTAACTTTGCCATAACTGTCCAGAAACAGCCCAGAGGCCATCAGAACTTTTCCAGATTGCTGAAGTTTGAGGCAGAGGGAACTCAGGTCTCTATTGAGATGGGAGAAGGAGGAAAAGCGATGGTAAGCTCTTTTGAAACAAGAATAGTGACTCATACTGTTAGCCACATTTGAATGATAGGGCAGAACAATCTTAATCATGTTTGTTGAAAAGAAATGATTTTTTTTTAATGATTTATTATTTTTTCCATTTAGGTGGATGGACAGGCAGTTGCTTTACCATTTGGTGTTGGTACCAGTCGAGTCCATATCTACCACAGCAGTGTGAAGGGTATAATCATGGAAACAACCTTTGGGGTAACTGTGCGAGCTGACTGGCCACACCTAATCCGAATCACTGTACCCAGCACCTACAATGGCACACTTGGTGGTCTGTGTGGGAATTTGAATGGATACCATGGAGATGAGTTCCTTAGCCCAGTTGGAGTCTTGCTGAATGATTCACAGGCATTTGGGAATAGTTGGCGGGATGGGTCTCTCTCAGCCTACTGTGAAGAATCAACAATCAGCTGGCAACCAGGATATTATCAGAACAACAGCCACTTCATACAACACTGCAGCATTATGGCTTCACCATACGGACCATTTGCTGAGTGCCACAGCAGCCTGGATCCCAGGGTATGGATAGCAGATTGCATCCGTTTCCTTGAACAGACAGGGGGCACAAAAGAGGCTTTGTGTGAGGCCCTGAGAGGGTACGCTGTTCTTTGCCAACAAAATGGCATTATTGTGCGAGATTGGAGAAATATAACAAACTGTGGTGAGTTATTTATTTATTTAATTTTTTTATTAACAGTATCATGGCATTACTCAAGAGGTCAAAGCTTTTTTTTACTAGATAACATTTTGCTAACAGCAATATACTAACTGGCACTTTGTCTTTTCCTTTTAAAGAGTTCCCCTGTCCAGCCAATAGCCACTATGAGCTGTGTGGTACTTCCTGCCCAGCAGCCTGCCCCAGTCTCTCATTCCCCTTTTCATGCATCCAGCGGTGCCAGGAAGGATGCCAATGTGATGATGGGCTACTTCTAAGTGGAGACCGTTGTGTGCCCCCTACTGGTTGTGGCTGTCTCCATGAGGGGCGCTACAGGCAGGGTGGAGAACGTTTCTGGCACGGTGAAGAGTGCCGGTCCCTGTGTACCTGTGATGGGACCACAGGTTTTGTCCGCTGCTTGCCATCATCTTGCAGTGAGCAGGAAACCTGTCGTATTGTTGGGGGAGAATATGGTTGCCACCCTCTACCCCGTGCTACCTGCTCTGCTTCAGGAGATCCCCACTATACCTCTTTTGACGGACGCACATTTGACTTCCAGGGCACCTGCAGATACATACTGGCAACTGTATGCAATGATACTCGAGGGCTACCATATTTCCAGGTTGTTGCCAGGAATGAGGCATGGCATGGACTCCAAGTTTCAGTCACTGTGGACGTTTATGTTAATGTCTCAGGACATATGGTGCATGTCTCACGCAACATGCGAGGTACTGCTAAGGTAAGAAGAAATAAAATGTTTTTTCTAGAAATGTCTTACTATTAAGAGGCTTTGCATATAGAAGTAATTGTTCAGTTATCCAATTGCTTGAAAGGGAGTACATGAAGACTGTTTACTTTAAATCTGAAGAGACCATTAATCTAGGGCTGCCACTAAAATTTATTTAGTATCAGTTAATCCACAGATTCCCAGCGCTGGTCATAGAATTCCCTTATTGCCCTGCATAGTTTAGTGTTCTGCTCTAGCACACCCACTTTAACTCAAGAAGTGCTGGTAAGTTGTATCAGGCATAATGGGTGCAGAAAATCATTCACATTTGCACAGAATTGATCTATTAAATTAATAATGCATTAATTAATAAAAATTATTTATTTTTGTAGACGTTATGACAATTTCACTTACATTTTATTTATTTCATATAAAGAATTTACTGTAGTTTTGACAATTTGAATTACATGTCTTTATTTATCTTGGGTTACCAAAAAAAGTGCTTTAAACAAGATGATAAATAAAACACTAGAAAGATAAAATACCATGACCCAAATAAGTAACAGCCCAATTACGAACAATAAGAAAAGGAAACAAAACCCAGTATACTGAGTACTATGCTAGCCTAAAAAAAGAAGTTTATACAGGTTTTACGAACACTTATCAGGTTTATTTCCTAATATTCTATGGAATGCTGCTGATGCCCATGATGCTGATGGAATGATAGGAGCTACATAAAAATGATAAGGATCTTCCACAAGCTGAGCTGTGTGTGATCTAAGAAATGTGCAATTAGCCTTGATCAACTGTATGAATTGAATGGGTCATAATGCTTCAGCAGATCAGCTAGATATACCAGAGTTAGGCCATTAAGGGCTTTAAAGATATTACACATGAATAAGAAAAAGATCTGAGCTGTGAGTGATCCTAGACATTTGCAGTGATCCTGCCTCAGCAGAGTTTGAAACAAGCTCTAATGTTTAACAGATGAGTAAAATACCAGAATAATATGCTCAAACATTTTTTTTTCTAGTAAGCACTAGTTGGAGCCTATCTAGAAAAACAGTAAGGCAGCCAGTCAGAGACACATCTCAGAAGACTAATATAGACTGTTGAATCAGTTATGAAGACATGGAAGCTGTATCATACCACCAGGCACTGCCTACACAAAACTGTCCCTCAGAGCTCAAAGTTAAAAATGCCATATGCAGTGCAGCCCTAACAATGCGAACAAAACAGGCAAAAAACAAATACCCCTGCATCATCAGTGGCAGGATCAAGTTGTGGGAATGCTTTTCCTTGGTGGGGACCTTGTTAAAATTAAAGGACAAGTGGATGGTGAATGATACAGTATGCTGCAACAGTCTACTTAAACACCAATACTTGGATGAGACTTCTGTGTTGCTGTGGACTCATCCCAAGCACAAGGCCACAGCAACACAGAAGTAGTTGACCAGCTAAAAGGTCAATGTTACAAAATGCCCAAATCAAAGTTCAAATTAAATCAGTCCAATTGAGAATCTGTGGCAAAATTTGAAAATTACAGTCCACAAGCGTCATGCAACCAAAATGAACAACCGGAAGCGAAGCAGCCAGGAAGAATGCGTGAAATCAATTCCTAATAGACTTTTCATAAATTGACACAACCAGTAAATCATTCACCACTTTGTCACTGCCATTCAATAAATAATTCAATAAAATAAGTGGCATCTACTCTCTACTGATACACAGACAAAGCTGGGCTTGCATGTGTATCCTGCCACACAAAAAATGAATGTGTGGCTTACATGATTACATGATACCGCAGCTATACACTTAACAAATACATTAGACACATGAGGCAAAGATTGTGGTTGATGCATTGCACTGTGTTAGCACAAGAAATGTATTTAAAGAAGATGAAATATACATCAAGAACATACTTTTAAAAGACTACTGTGCAACTTAATTTTCTTCCCATTAGATTGATAATGAGACCCGGAATCTTCCTGTCCTGCTTGATTCTGGACGTGTTTCCATTTACTCCAGTGGACAGAACACATTTATCACAACTGACTTTGGCCTAAGTGTGAGTTACGATGGCTCTTGGGTCGTGCGCATCACTGTCCCAGCTAATTACAGTGGAGCCACATGCGGCTTGTGTGGTAACTTCAATGGGCAAAAGAGTGACGATTTCCGCAAACGATCAGGTGCGCTGGCTCTTTCAGCCTTTGAGTTTGGAGCTGACTGGAAAGTGGAGAATGACACGTTGTGCAGCGATGGATGTGGAGACTCCTGTTCATCATGTCAAAATCCAGTTGAGGCGCGGGCCCAGTGTCAGATCATCAGGGACACCCGGGGTCCATTGAGCTTCTGTCATGCCACCGTGGACCCCCAGGCCTACTTTGATGACTGTGTGTTTGATTTGTGCCTCTCTGAGCACAGACATGATGTACTGTGCCGTTCCATCCAAACCTATGTGAGTGCCTGCCAGTCTGCCAATGTCGTGATCAACCCCTGGAGAGAGAACACGACCTGCAGTAAGTAACTTAGCAAGAGTGTGAAATAGATTCAATATAGTTTTTAAATAATGGAAATAAAACTGCATTAAGCGTATTTTATCGTTGAATACTTCAAAGAGATTTGGGTTTGGAGTTTTATGTTGGAAGGCACCAGGAAAGACACTAATAGGTAGTATTGGCTGATGCAAGTATGTTTGGATTTGAGACTGAGGAATCTGGGCTAGGTGTTATTCTCTCTAAAACCCTTCATCATGATACAGTAATATATAAATGATTGTAACCACTACATGGTCAAGATGGTTAAATAAACATATATTCTTGATGTGGAATTGATGATATTTTGCTCTAATTATGTTATGTAATTTGACAGGAATGGACTGTCCCATGAACAGCCACTATGAGCTGTGTGGCACAGACTGTGGTCATACCTGTGCTAGCAGCATTGATGCTGTATGTGAGCGGACGTGTTCAGAGGGCTGTTTCTGTAATGAGGGCTTTGTGAGGAGTGGAGGACGCTGTGTTCCAGTGGAACAATGTGGCTGCTTGTACAATGGATTCTATTATCATGTGAGTTCCAGTTTGTCAGTTATATCAAGACATACAGTCAAAAACCTGAACTGTTAAAGTGATTGTTTATCTGGAAGCATCTATACATTGATGTTTTGTTTAAATATTACTCTTTTAAGTACTATATTCATATTTACACTATATTAATTGCTTGCACTTGTGTCTTAATGTGGTTTGGTTCTGCAGATTGGTGAGCAGTTCTGGACCCCAGGATGTTCACAACGCTGTGAGTGCTTTTCTACCAATGACCTGCGCTGCTACTCCACCTCCTGCTCTCCCACCCAGGAGTGTGAGGTCAGGAATGGCCTGCGTGGCTGCTACAGCAGAATGTCCTCATGCATGGTCTGGGGTGATCCCCATTACTTTACCTTTGATGGAGCTGTCACCACCTTCCAGGCAAGAATGAGCTGTTTTAATATGCCAACTTAATACTGGTCTTTGATTTAATGGGACATGATTCAATTATGTCATGTTTGGATAATTGGATAATCCATTATTGAAGCATTAGTGGATCTCACACATTATTGTTGCATAGTTTATTTTAAAAATGTTATTCTTTTTTATCAGGGAACTTGTTCATATGAGATCTCTAAGACCTGTGGGAACGTCTCAGACAATGGCTTACAGTTCCGTGTGGTGGCAACTAACATGCATCGTGGGAACATGGCTGTGTCGTTTCCGTCTAAAGTGGATGTGTGGCTAACTAGATGGGGACAACAGACACAGATAACTATTGGACAAAGAGAGTGAAGGTATTTCTCCTGTCTACTGTGTGGTCCTGCTTGTAGGGAGTCAGAGGTGTGAGACATTTCCTGATTTCTTCTTTTTTTAATACTTTTTCTCCTCTTTCTGCAGGTTAATGGGACTGACACAAGCTCGTCTGCTTTTCAAATCAACTACTTTACAGAAGTACATCAGGAACAAGATTTTGTGGTTGTGAATGCATCAAACGAGCTCATGGTCTACTTTGATGGTCGTTACACACTTTCAGTGAAACTGGGCCCGAGCTTCCAGGGATCTGTTTGTGGAATGTGTGGCAACAATAATGGAGACCCTGCAGATGACAAAGCTATGCCCAATGGAGCTCTCGCACCCAATGACAGTGTTTTTGGCAACAGCTGGAGATCAATTAACAGTGCTGCAGGGTGGTTAACCATATTTGAATAACAATTTTGAAAACAGTTATTGTGTATGTGAAGTTAAAATAGATACACTCATCTATTCAAAGCAAAATCATGTATTCCCATTAATAATTATTGAACTGCAGTTTCTTTTACACTGGTTATATCTCAGCAACTTTTTGACTCTTTCTAAAGAAGTTAAGTATGATATTAACAATTATGTCTTGAAAAAAAGGAAATTAATAGGTTTTATGCCTACCATGAAAACAGTACATTTAAATGACATTATGCAACTATTCAGCACACTTTCACTGTCTCAAATTTTCCCTAAATGTTTTGCTTTCTTTCCAGGTGTGGTGCTAATGACCAGGCAGGTGATGTGAATGACTGCCCTTTAAGACAGGAGTACTCTGAATTCTGTAGCATCATCACCAACACCAGTGGACCCTTCAAGCCCTGCCATATCCATGTCAACCCTGCTGTTTACTACAATTCCTGTGTGTATGACCTGTGTGTCTACTCATCAGCCAACGGTATGCTGTGTTCAGCTCTGGAGGCCTATGAAGTTGCTTGCACTACGATGGGGATCCAGATCTCAGACTGGCGGTCAGGTCTAGCTTGCTGTAAGTCCAATAAATTTATAGACCTGTTCCAAATTTAAGTTTCTCTGGAATCGATGCACAGTAGATTTTTTTTAATGAATTACATATTTTTCATGCATTTTTACCTTTTTTTTTCTCATTAGCGAGGATGGATCCCTGTGCAGAGCTGAACTGCACTGCAGATGAGTGGTGTGGGGAGAAGGATGGCATCTATGGCTGCTTCTGTAATGAGGATCATCCTAGACCGAAGCTTGAGTCTTACGGTACAGGCACATTTTAACATGTGGTCATGCATTAGGGGCTGTGGCTATTTGTGCTTCCATACACCAGTTTAACAGTCCAATGGAAACAACTGATTGTTTATCACACTAACAGCTAGTACTAAACTGTCATCTCCACATACCAATGAGCTTTTCAAAACAAAATACAATTGTTAAACCAGAAAACGTTTACACGTTTCATTCATATCTCATTTTAAAAGATATCACTACATTTTGTTGACCGCCATTGTGAAGTTAATCAGAAATCCTCAGTATAACGGTCATCTCATGCTTAATGCTCTTTGGATAGTTGTTCTGCATGTCAGTCAAATGGCCTTTTTGCTATCCAATTAGGTGCTTCTTGAAACCTACCAGTCCTGGTTTACTAGGCTGTATTTCAGCAACACACACATTTTACACTTTGCTAAGGAAAAAAGTCTCTATTTTTTACTAATGCCTGTTCATTACTGTTTGTTCTTCTGCACCTTTATTTTAGACACTATCCTCAACTAACTTGACTTCTGCCCACAGCACTGACTAGTGGATTGATTAGTTGACTAGTTGACTAGTCAGTTCAGCCACATGCATGCAAAAATACCCAGCGATATTTACAACTATTTCACTAAAACAAATCTCACACCTTTTTTCCTTTTCTCTTTTCTTCTTGTACCAGATTCCAGAGAAACCTGTCAGAGCAGCTCTGGCACCATGTCTCTGTCCCGCTGTCAGCTCTTTGAAGCTGGTTTCCCTGCTAACATCCTGCATCTGAATGACCCCAACTGTAACGGAACTCTACAAAACGGCAGACTGGTGTTCCACTTTGATAACAATGACCACATCTGTGGCACAAATTTCACGGTACACTGAACAGTATACAGTATTTTGATGAAAATGCTTTCTTAGTTTGCAGAGTGTCTACAAATTTGCAGCGTGTTTGTAAAATCCATGTTATCGTTTTAATGAAAGTGTTTTCAGTGCTTGCACCTTGATTTTATTTGCAGTTTGTTCGGTCTTCTCGGCCACCACACTTTTTAAGTTTATAACATAATTCCAACATTTGCAAACAGAATGACAATCACAGTTTAATTTTTGATTGTCAGTTTTATCTAAATTACGATAACTGTATTGTTGTCTCAATATTTATGGAGCTGACTGTAAGTCCTTGACTATATGTTTTGGTGGTAATTCATTTTCATCATATTCAGCTTTGGACTGAATTGTTAATAAATTATATCAACAGGCCAATGGCACACACTTCATGTACGAGAACTTTATCCAGGGAGTAGTGGACTCAGCAGGAGGACTCATCAACAGAGAGAAACGTCTGAAACTGCACTTCTCCTGTGTTTACCAGCTTAGCCAGACACTTACCATGCACACAGAACTAAATCCCCTGCAGAGGTGAGGTGTGCTACTGCCTGGGTTCTTCACTGAAATCCCACTAATATCAATTGCTGGACTGCTCCAGTTTAAGGATTTTACAATGCATGGGGATGTAGTTTTTCCTCTATGTTTATTCTATGAACTAACCAGTCTGTGGTTTGATATTTACACAGCATAGTGCATGAGACCCTTCCAAACAGTCAGGGGTTGTATCAGATCAGGATGACTCCCTTCCAGGATGCTGCCTTCTCCCACCCTTACAACGGTAGTGCATACATAGACGTGGACCAGCGGATCTACGTGGCAGTGATTGTTCAGAGAGTGGACAGCCGTCAGTTTGTCACAGTCATAGACTCATGTTGGGCCACTCCTGTTAATGACCAGAACTTCGGTGTCCGCTGGAACCTCATCGTTAATAGGTATGAACATTTTCCTTATTTCGACTTTTGACAGGGAAAAACAGACAGTAAAGGACAGTCCACATACTGATTTGAGCCATAATAGGTCATAATATGTGTCCTTTTTCATTTATCTGCCTAAAAACCTGACACTACATCCCTTTTCAATCCAAGATATCTTTTTCTGATTTAAAGATAAAATATCACATATTTTCAGGTGCCCTAACCCAAAAGATATCACAGTGGAAGTTCTTCAGAATGGTGTCTCCACAACTGGCCGTTTCTCCTTCAAGATGTTTGCTTTTAATGGCTACCGCAAAGTTTTCCTTCACTGCGCCATCCACCTTTGTCTTCTGCAGAACAACAACTGTGCAGCGGTGAGTCCCGTGTTGAATAGAGAGTAGGCTTGAGAAATACACTGACAATGCAGGGTAATGAGTATGAAGAACATATTATGATTTCTATTCATCCACATGGCAGGAAAAAAGAACATATTTGTGCGATATGTAGGGTAGAGTTTTACAGATTGGGCTTTTGTTTTTGCCAAAGGGCATAATGATTGTTTGGTGAAGGCAGTGCCCCACTAAGTGACCCCATGATGCCAGGTCGGCACACATTTGACCACACACATTAACTGATTTCTTGACTTTTATATTTATTATAAAAGATGTAAAATGGTATTTGTTGGTGCCTTCAATACTCCTTTTTACTCTCAAACTATGACAATGAAAATAGGGTCTGTAGTAAAACAGTGATGAAGGGATATCAGAGAATAACATGATATGTGCACATCTGAGCCTGAACGCTGAAGTCGTGTTATTTTGATGGTAGAAAGACTTTCAGAATGTGTTCGCAGCTTGTGTCTTGGTCTAGCTGTTGTATTTGCTGCCATTGTAATGGAAAGAACACAGCTTTGGGACTTATACCTATTTCTACCCTTTTAGGTGACACAAACAGAGCATGACCTAACAAAGCTGTGCAAAACTTTAGTAAATCAAGCAGCATATTTAATCAGCCACACTTCTTATATCTCCAACCATATTTTGTGTGATCTTTTCTGAACCACACTTTTTCATGTTACACACTTTCTAATCATGTACACAATAAATCCAAATAGTTAAAGGGTATGCCTGGCTTGCATCCGTGCAAATTTTTTTTTATTTTGTTTATACACAATTTTATTTGCACTTGGAATACTATAAGAACTAGTCAGTGCTTCTGAAACCCATGTAAGCTTTAACAACTCTTATCTATCTCGTGTGTTTTGCAGCGCTGCTTCCCTGGACACCGTTTCAGAGTTGGTCGTTCTGTGGACATGCATGACAAAACCTCCATCTCTGTTGGTCCTTTTATCTGGGCTGCTGAAAGTGCAGGTAAACACTCTCACAAGACACACTTGCCTTGATGTTTTCTCATGTTCTTTAAAGTTCTTTAGCAACTGGGGCAATGTAAACACAGGTACTATCAGGTACTACTATTCTCTTGAAAATTACAGGACATACAGCCACCTTGCAGAAATCTTGTGTTCCAGGTGGTTCCAATTAACAGTGTACAGTTGCTATTTTACTATTACTTACTGTCAGTATAGTAAACTAATGTAAAAGTGATGTAACTAGTAGCCAGTATTTTAATACAGTTTTACTGTGTAATTTTACAGCAGCATATTATCTTAAATGTGCATTAGCTGCGCATGTCAGGGGTTAATGTGGAGGCCTCTACTTATAAGTAGTGTAATTTCTTTGGAGAAGTAGAATAACTGTGTTTAAGAAACACAGCAACGGATTCAATTTTTTTTAATGGGAAGCAGTGTTATTTGTGATGTAAGTTTAGAATGTGATTGTATTTAGTGATCTTTTTGTAAATCCTCTTGTAAATGTATTTATTACATTGTAGCAAAAAGAAGAAAACATTAAATTAATGAGAATCATAATAATGCAAAGGAAAAACTTTTTAAAATTGTCACTGGTTTCATGGTTAATGTACTGCAAAATGAATGCCACTTAATTTAGTTCCGGTCAGTTCACTCTGCCCCCCATTTTCATTTATATTTTGGAGTATTTGCCTCAAGTGTTTTTTTTAATCCTGTCTTTTTTGTGCTGCCCTTTTTTATCACCTTCTTATCCCTTTACAATTTACATGTGGAAAGCAAAAGCACTCTACAGAACACTACCTACAAACAGCTCCTAATTTATATTGGCAGCGAATTTCATGATCTATCACCTCAATACTGTTTTACTTGAGGTGGTGGGCCTCTTATTTACCCACCTAAATTAGTACAAATATAGACTCAGTTGTTAAGGTTACTGTATGTAACTGTGTTCTTTTGTGCTAATAATTTCCACCTGTTGCCTGAAGGCTAAGAGTGTTGAGGGGGTGGCTACTTAAAGGCATTTTCATAAATGTAATATTTTTAGCCCAAAATGTTTCAAGCCCATCGGGAATTCTCTGACCCTCCCAATTACCCAACCTGGTCTTTCACTAAACGGCTCCTGTACTGTAATTTAGAAGTGAATGTAACTCATTATGATTAAAGTGCAATTCAAGTGATTTATAGCACCCAATTTTTAATTTTGTATTTACAGGTGTGTAGATTCCAGAGATACTGATGCTTCTCCAAAGGCCATCTGAATAAAAAACTTCATGTGTAAAGATTTTACACAACTCTTACTTTATTTCTTTTTAAATAATGGGGCACTAATGTAACACTGTATGGGCTTTTCTGTTTAATTCATTTTGGAGGCAATAATTATTTATTTCCATAACTAGATTTTGATTTATTTTGAACTGTACTGCATTTTGCACCATGATTCTACATGCATTTTGAAAATTCTTTAAACTGTTGTCTTTCCAAATGTGGATTTGATTATAAGGTGTTCTTTGTTCATCTTCATGATTACATTTAAGATCTTAATAAATTCTCTAAATGACATAACAGAAGATATATGCTGTGTATGGTATCACTTTGTTTTTTAAATCTTCCTGTAAATCAAGCAAAAAGAGACATTGCTTTTATCAAGGTAACAGAAATAGACAAATAAATTCACAACCCATTAGAGCACATCATAACATTGTTTCCTGATTCCTGGTTGAAGGAGGTGTTTAAATATCTTTAGGTAATAAAGGGGCATTTGAAGATAGTGCCAGGAGAGCCAGGCGTGCCTGTAGATCTCCAGGACCAGAACTGGGCACTCCTGATGTCCCTGATGGAGACAGATAGACAGATAGATAAATGTCAGTTTAATTAAGGGAATTAGATGTATGACAACTACTTAACATGGTTACCTTCTAAAAGCTCGTACTTTACTATAAATTTGACAAATATTATTATGCATACAAAATAATTCCAGCTTATGTTTTACAGTTCATCTTGTAAATGAGTAGCCTTCAAACGCAATTTTTCTCTTAATCTGCCTACAATCACCTTGTTTAAAGCCCAAATAAATTGAAAAATATTACCCCGATTCCAAAAAAATGGGATGCTGTGTAAAATATAAATAAAAATAAATAAAAATAGAATGCAATGATTTGCAAATCTCATAGATCCATATTTTATTCACAATAAAACATAGAAAGTGGGATATTTTACCATTTCATGAAAAACATTAACTCATTTAGAACTTGATGGCGGCAACGCATTTCGAAAAAGTTGGGACAGGTGCAAAAAAAAGCCTGGAAAAGTAAGTGGTAGTAATAAAAAACAGCTGGAGGAGCAATTTGCCACTAATTTACGTGACTGGGTATATAAGATGGGCAGAGGTTTACCAATCTGCGAAAAACTGTGTCTAAAAATTGTGGAACAATTTTAGAAAAAAGTTCCTCAGTGGAAAATTGTGATTGATATCCCACCATCTACAGTACATCAAAAGATTCAGAGAATCAAGAGAAATCCCTGTACGCAAGGGAACTAATGCACATCATTATATTTGGCAGTGTGAACTAATTTGCACATCAGCCAACTCCTGGAGCCAACTCCTCTGCTTACCTCTTATCTACTACTGTGAGAGACACTGATGCCTAAGTGTTCACAGAAACCGGATTAAACTCACGATGTGAATTGGGAAATGAAATCTTCTGGTACGCCATAATTACAAAAGATGTGTTCATATAAAGCTAAATCAGTATCAAAAGCAGTGGGTAAGGATTTGAAAGAAATGAATCTTACTTCTTGAGAATTGATCAACTATGGTGATAATAGTCATGAAACCATCAGAAGGGGGCAAGTCAAATCGCGAATTGTGCACAGATATAGAACAAGAGACGACAAATCTATGGATGTCTCGCTTGAGAGTTTCCCACCAATAACAAAGTTGTTGAGTGCAAAACTCACAAGGATGACCGGAGCTGAGAGAGGAGTGAGCCCATGTTATCAAACGATCCCCAAATTGGTTGGAAGGGCCTTGAGAAGGGCCGTGAGAGGAGCAGCGATAGAGCTGAAATCACAAATAAACTGTCTATAAACAAATCCTAAGAATCTTTGAAGCTTTTTGATGCATGTGGGGGTAGGCCAACTGACGACGGCTTCTACTTTTTGACCATCCATAAGCACACCCTGAACACTAATAACATATCTGAGGAAGGAGACTCTTTGGAGATGAAAATCACATTTCTCTCATTTAACAA